CGGCTCCCCAGAGAAGTGGAACAGGCACCCAAAGGCCTGGCTGGATAAGATGAGAGGAGACAGCAGGCATGGTGACTCACCCCTGTAACCCCAGCACTTGGGAAGTTGAGGCAGGAGGATTGTCATGAGTGTAAGGCCAGCCTGGACTAGAGTGAGCTCCTTTATGTCCTGACCCCCATACACACACAGGCTGGACTCACACACCTGAGCAAAACCAAAGGAACGCGTGACTGGGGGTGGTCGGGGTGTGTGTGTGTGTGTGTGTGTGTGTGTGTGGCGCGCGCTGTGAGCAGAGAGCTCCTGTTAAGAGACAATGTCACACAGTCCTACCGTTTCTTCCTGTTCTGACTCCCTATCTCCGCTTCCCTTCTGTCCCCAAGCCTGAAGCACTGTCACAGGGTACTGGAACCGTGGGGGATTCTTAGGCATGGCACTCGCTGTGGCTTAAAACCCTATGCCGATCACCCCATCACGTAAAGCCAAGGGTGACAGCGAATAAGGCCCCGACATCCACAAGACATGGTGGTGGCAATGGAAGCAACACCTGTTTGGCACCATGGGCCCTGAGCCTAACTAGACCCTGGGGAGTGACTAGAGCAAGGGACGTGTTAGGCCATGACACCCCAAGCTTACTCAACGGTTCCCACTCTTGATTGAGACGGAGGGGAGAGGGCTAAGGAAGACAGCAGCTGTGGGTGACACCTGCATCTCCAAACGTCCCCTGAAACCCCGCCTTTACCCACTTAGTGTGTCAGTGACGCGTGTGCAGGGGGTGTGGTGCACAGCCAGGCCCACTCACTCATGCTCTCGATGTCCAGAGAGTCCACAACAGAACGCCGGTGCTCGTCGCCCGCGATGGCCCGCTCAAAGGCCTTCTGTTTCACAATCTTGCTACACTCTTGGTACTTCATCTTAGCATCCTTGTCGTTAGGCTTCACCTTCACCACCTGGTCAGGAAGAGAGAGTGAAGAGGTGTCACACTCCGGAGGGCCAGCCACCTAGCCCAGATGAGCCACCAGGGTCGCTGCGCTTGTCTTGGACTGCATGCACAGCCCCGAGCTGAGGAAAGGCCAGCGTCGGACCACCACATGCTAGCAGGACAACCCTGGCCCTGTCACTCAGGATTCAGTTTTTACATCCCCACACCAAGCACACTGAGCTGCCCCCCAGGATGGCTTTAGAGGTCAGGGCATTGGCCCATGCAAGTGCCCTCACTAAACAACTGCTGCCCTGTTAAAACCAACTGGTGCCGGGCGTTGGTGGCGCTCGCCTTTAATCCCAGAACTCGGGAGGCAGAGGCAGGCGGATCTCGGTAAGTTTGAGGCCAGCCTGGTCTCCAGAGCGAGTGCCAGGATAGGCTCCAAAGCTACACAGAGAAACCCTGTCTCGAAAAACAAACACAAAAACAAAACTGGTACCCAGCTGAGCAAACAAGTCTCAGGCTCCCAGCACAGGCAG